GAAACTAATCCTAAATTGATGTATTGCATTATAAAGGTCTAGTCATTTTGGGGGGAGAACATTAAGTAGACTCTTAATAGCAACAACAAAGTCTTGTCTCATTTTTTAAAAACAAAATCATTTAGAGAAATGTGAGGAAGGAAGATAAACATTTCTGTGTAAGATAGACACGTGCTAACCTGTGAAAGATAATTTGAGTAGTCAGCAAATCCCTAGTGGCACAAATATGAGGAGACACTGGCCAGAAAAATCCATCTGCTTTTCAGTATGTGTAACACTTGTCTTATCAAGGAAATAAAAGTGTCTCTCGCTAAAATCATAGCTGTCACATTAGCATTATATCAGCGCCTGCAAGCAACCATGGTAAAAGATTGTTAAAGGTTTTCAGTGTACATTCTATTTCTCCAAGAGCTTAAACAACACTACAAAAAGTGGCTCTGGGCTAAACCGCGGTGTGTTACGTGTCTGTTATATCACGTGTCTTTAGGTACTTATTTTTAAATTTCTCTACTGAGGTAGGCCCAAACACTAATCTTGAAAAGGAATGCTTAAATTGAAAGGGATGGGACAGAAGCCTCAAGTATTTGAGCACTGTGCACACAATATGCAGCTCTCTTGCAATCTTGCAATCATCCTTGCTGGGATGCCAGGCAGAAAATTTATCTCTCAGTGTCTTGAAATTCCTTTGAATTCAATTGATTTAAGCAAATTACAGTTTAAAGATGATTTTTATCTGGATTTCTAGATAATTTCATATACTTCAGTGACAGAAAAAATTCATGAGTACTCCCAGTCACTTCTCCATCTTTCTTACTTGTTGATGTGAAAAAGAAAATGAGAGGCTGATCTAACTGAAAAATTAAGGACAAACAGAAGCTGGATTAAAACAAAACAAAACAAACAAACAAAAATGTTAATGGCCTGAGATCCAAAATGACAATGTCTGGAAACAAACCAATATGGAATATGGAATGTTGAATAAAGGGGAAGAAAGGGAAGGGATGGTAAGATGGAAAGCAGCAGCCTAGGTCTTCTAACTGGCACAAGTGTATGAAAAATAATCATTACCAGCCTGTTTGTGAAAAGAACTATATTTATACTTCTTGCTAAAGAATAAAAAGGGAAGAGTAGGTGAAAAGGAAGTCAAAAGGGAAGAGAAACAACCTTCAATCTATCTAGATTAGTCCAAACCATGATAGCAGGAGTGAGACTAAGTTGCTCTTTGATAGGCACTACCAAATCATATTTAGTGTGCACACAATTTTGCATTAAACACAGCAAATAACACTGTTCCCAAAGACTGATATTTTTCCCACAAGAAACTGAAATGCCATTAATCTCGTCACTGAAACTTTTAAACAATTCTTTTGCCAGCTCAGGAGAAAGTTGGAAAGATAGAATTAATCCTTCGCAGCAAAGGGCAAAATAGTGATTATACATCTTCAAAAAAAATCACCAAAAAAATAAAAATAAAAAAATAAAAAAAAGACAGACAACATTAATATGTAATATGTATTAGTAACTATTGGCCTTATTTCTGCAAGTATTTTGAATCAGTATCTCCTTTTATTTTTTGCCAAAGCTGCTGGAGTTTAGTATCTGTGTAAACAGGGTCATGAGTTAGTACTAGTAACTATTAAAAATACTAATAATAATTTTAAAAAAGGGAAAATGCTTACATTGACTACTATACAATGCAACAATACTGACATGCACAAGACTGTGTTGACCTTAGCCTATAAAAAAGAACTGGCAGAAGACTTTCACAGAGCCCTGGATATGGCTAAAGAAAGGTGAAACTTGAAAGTTCAATGCTGCAGTCTCACCTGCTCGCTAACAGGAAGCCAGAATCACAGAATCCAAACTACTGGATGACTGAATTTTGTCTGAGAAAGGTGGAAGGACACTACAGCAGTAACAAGGACAACCATATCATTACATTTCACAAGAGGCAACTGTTCACTAAGGAACTGCACTTGCAATGAGCGTGCTGAACTTTTGTAATCCACCATGAATTGAGCCTGGAATTTATTTTCAGTATTTCTGAGTAATTAATATGCAATATATAAATTAATCTTCAATTTCTATGTATACATTTATACAACATAAAGCCATGATAGACTAAGCTGAGGAGAAGAACAAATCTCTTACTGATCGTAAAAAGAACATTCACGAAATCAAACAGGGAAATATAGCATCTGATGCACAAAAAAAGTTTGCTTTTGTCTTATTTTTCCTGTTTTAACTAAAGAGTTACTTTTAAATTTAGGGCAGCTCCAAATAGTTTCCAACACTCTCATATTAATAACAATTTCCTAACTTAAAGTTATTCTATTATATCTGCTCTTTTTTCAAAGCCTTAATTTGATTCAGTGTGTAAATCAAATAAAAATACCTAGCGTATACATAATCTATAAAGCTCAGCAGTTTTAAAGAGAACGCTAATTCCATTTTTTGCAGTCTAAGAAGAGAAACAATAAAAAAAACACAGAGGTTAAGTGATTTGCCCAAGGTCAAATGTATCAGCAGAAGAGAAGTCAAAAGTTCATAGATTAGTGGACTTCTTATTAATTAGCATTACATTGACATATTTTGTAGAACTGCAGGTAAAGATTGCTTGCTGTGTAATAATGTATCCTAATAACCCTCAGTGGGAATATCTACTTGAAGGAGAAAGGAAGTGATGAGAAAATGAATAGTCACAAATCATTAGAATAATAAAATGTTCACTGAAGAGTTGTAAGACAATTCACAGATGGAACAGCTTATTGACTAGTGCCAGTGCATTCTCTCTCACCTAAAATTGCAAAGGTACAGAGAGCTAGAAGATATATATAATGCAGTGCAAACAAATAGTGACTGAGCAATACAGTGGCAGATTAAATGTCATGTAAAAAAATGTAAAGTGATGTACAAGGTGAAAAAAGAACATTGGAGCTTATAATTACTATCAGACTTAAGTAAATAAATAGTTCCACAAGTGTTCAAGTATTCAGTAAGAAACTGAGAATAGCAGGAGAAATCATTTTGAAATGGTGTAACCCTCTCCCACTGCAAAAACCACATCTAGCATACAAAATCCAGAAAGGGTAAACAACATCTTCTGTGCAGGTAGAGCAGTAGGATGCTTCTCTTGACAAGTCCTCCTAAGAGGGATGGATATTTGTGAGCCGATGCTCACAAATCACTGGTGGCACAGAGGAAGTGGACAGGCATTAACTGTTTATTGTTCTTCCAGTTCAAATCTATCCAATCCAATGTAGATTTAAATGAAGCTACACAAAACCATATTAAAAATGATATCTATTTTTATTAATGCACAGAGTGAGCAGAGTAATAGACCTGTGCAACTTAGTGTCAAAGGACACAGTTTTAAAGTTTGCATAGGTTATAAGAAAAGATTCATGGAGGAGAAAACCAACAATGTTTTAATTTCTGTAAATCACTCTAGCTGAATTTTCTTCAGCTAAAATTGTTGGAGGCCTGAAAAGCATCTGGAAAAGTGTTTTGTAATTATTACTCTCACTTTTTCTAGGAATATATTTATAGTCATTGCCAATAGATAAGATGCACAGCCATATGATTCTGGGTGATTCCTTCTTTTGCTACAGATATACTATTCATTATTTTTGTGTAACTCCCTGATAAATCCCATTCAATAACCTAGGTTTTCCAAATATGTGATACAAGGGAAATAAGTGAAACAATTGTTTCTCAGTTTTGGATTCCACTTCGAGGGTAAGAGGGAAGAATAATCACTGTAGAAGTAAATATGTAATCAAAGTAGGTTAATACATAATCAGGATGTCAGCAAAGTACTGCATTGCAGTTTAGTTCTAAACAAGTACCTCCTTTATTGGATAATGTCTAAAACATTAGAAATTATTTGTTGAGATTTTTTTTTTAGTATTATATGTTTTTAATATTATCATGGCCATGAAGTATTCTGTTTCAAATGCTAAGTTATATGGGGACCAGTAGACAAGTGCAAACATGGAATCTCTGAAAAGTTAACAGGAGTCTCTCAATGTGAATTGCCCTTTGCCATTGCATAATACCTCTTGGCAACAGTCAGAATACCAACCAGATCAAACACAACCTGCTCTAAAGATTTTCAAATGAAACAACATGGCTTTATAATAGCATTGAGTAGTAACACTTCATTTAATATGTACATTAATTATTGCTGAATTATAATGGAGTTCCTAAAAAGATCTCTAATGTTCACATTAATACTAAATGAATTCATTATGATCAGTGTAATTACAATGAATGCTAACTAAATTAATGGTAGTTAGACAAGCTAGAAACAGTGTCACCCATTTACTTGACACCTTCCAACCCAAATATATTTTGGCATTGCTTATATAATAGCAATGTGAATAATAAGGCCGTGTCATTGTCACAGTTTTTCGCACCATCAAACTGCTAATTATCTTATTGTATTTCATTTTCTTATGCATACATACACACAGTAGACATCTATATTATCTGAAAAATATAAAAATAACGGAGCTTTATATCAATCTGATGGTTTTGCTTGGATTTAGTTGCAGGCACTGTATTTATACAAAAAGCCCTACGTAGTTATTCAGAAAATAAGGAGTGAGAAAACAGACTATACAAGTTGTTGTGACCCAGTTCTATTCTCCAGTATTCATTCTGGTGTGAACTCTACAGATCATCTATTGGAGCACATTTCCAGGCAAAGCCTGATGCCAGGTGGTATGTTTATCATTTATATTTCTTGACCTGCTGGCCTAAGCCTCACATAAGGTATTCTTGCCTATGGCAAAATAAATCTTTTCTGGGAATTGTATCTGTAGCCATACACCAGACATCTCATGGGCTCTTACAGAGTATTAACTGTGCAGAAGTTTTCAAGGAAGTAGGATCAGAACCCAGTTTTGTCCATAAGAAACAACAGCAAAGAACATTTTAGCAGCTTAAGGAAAATAGTATGTGAAGTCTATTTCAACAGAAGGAATAAAAAGATTTACCTTTAAAAAGCTTCAATCAATGGAATGCAATTTTGTTGCCATCTGTTAGAGAAAACAAAGTGAAAGAGAGATGATTTCACAAAGCTCATGGAGATAATGAAGTTTTATATACAACTCAACAGAATATAATTAGATGTCACATTACTAATAAAACTTTTTATGGTTCACTTTTTAAGTAGAATAAAGAATTACGGACTAATAAAACATCCTCATACTTTTTTTTCTTACACTACTTCGATTCACAACTAACACATCAGCAACTGGATATGTTACTTTGCATTCAAATGCCTTACATGGCATGAACTGTAAAAATCAATTACTCCTTTGTCTGGGAAACAGGGTACTGGTGGACTGGTATGGCAATGCTGCCAAACACTGAACGAACCATCAAAACACAGATTGATTCTTTGTTCATATAACAGGAAATACAAAGAAAAAAAAGCCTATCATCCTTCAACTTTTCTTCCACTTTTTTTTTTTTTTTTTTTCATTGTATTTCAGAAGAAGATGAACTGTAGCCTTCCGGCAATCACTAATGCAGTGTTTGTATTCCATGTTGAGATTATTCACTTGGGTGCTGCACTGAAGCTGTGTGGGCTATTTTGACACTGCATCCAGATGCTCCAATTTTGCTTCAGTGACTCAGAGAAAAACCAAAATGCCTTAAAGCAATGTTCAAAGGGTTAGGTCTTGATGAACCAGTAAAGTACTCAGAAGAAGTGTTTCTAAACGTCTCTAACTAATGCTGAAGTGACTTAAGTGGCCTCAGTGTGACACTCAGGCAGGGAATACTTAATAGAAAGATTAAGTCCTGTTACAGATAGCTGTGCTTCAGGCGATTGTAGATTTTGCCCCATTTCTTTTTGAGAAACAAAAAAATGGAGCATAAGTGAACAAGAGAAAAATGTATTATTTTTACAGCAGCATATACATCTATGAAGAATAAGTGTTGGAGTGATCTAGTTAGAAATATTTTATTAAAATTTGCACTTGTCATACATTTCCATTTACTCCTTTGAGACCGAATCAATAATTAACTGTTTGGTTGAGAATATAAAATCAGACTTTTTAATTGTTTTTTGGTGAAGGAAGGGACTTCCTATAGAAGGATGGATGGAAGAAAGAAAGGAAGGTTGGTTATTTGCATCCTCTAACTCTTTTCACCAGTGCAGTTTAGAAAATAATTCCAATTTTCAAAATAAAACATTTGCTGAAATATCTTAATCTATCTAGAATTGAAAATGGCTTTAGTTCTACAGAATAAGAAAGATCCAAAATCAGAGAGAGTGACAGATTTTTAGTTAAAAATAGAATTCAATAAGTTTTACTGACAGTAATCTTGGCTGAACCTGAGCCAGCAGTGTGCCCAGGTGACCAGGAAGGTCAATGGCACCCAGTTTTCTAATTGAAACAGTGCAGCCAGTAGGAGCAGGAGGTGATCTTCCAGTCATACTCAGCTCTGGTGAGACTGCACCTTCAGTGCTATGTTCAGTTTTGGGCCCCACACTAAAAGAAAGACACTGAGATCTTAAAGCTCGTGCCAAGGTGGGCAATGAAACTGCTGAGAGGCCTTGAGCACAAATCTTATGAGGAACGGCTATGGAAGCTGGAATTGTTTAGTCTGGACAAGAAGAGGCTCAGAGGAGATTTTAACACTCTCTATGTAGGGGTTGGCCTCTTCTACCAGGTAACTAGCAACAGCACGAGTGAGAATGGTCTCAAGCTGCACCAAGGAAGATTTAGGTTGGATACTAGGAAAAACTTCTCCAGAAGGGTGGTCAAATGCTGAAATGGGCTGCCCAGGGAGGTGGTGGGTCCCTGACTATGTTCAAGAAATATTTAATGTTGTACTGAGGGACCTGGTTTAGTGGGGAAACATTGGTGGCAGGTGGACAGTTGGACTGGACGATCTTGGAGGACTTTACCAACCTTTGTGACTCTGCAATTCTTTATTGTACTTGAAAAGTGAACCATAAAAATCCAATGTACCATATATATTTTTGAAAAGAAAACAAACAAACAAAAAACCAAAAAAATCCAACCAACAAATTAACAATTGACAAGGACAAATGACTTCTCCAGCCAGAATGTCAGTTTCCTTTGAATTTCTGGTTATAAGGTCTTTTAGAAAAAATGTGCTTTTTGCATTATTTTGAGAGAAGTGGTAATGAGAATAATGTTCCCTGTTAGCATTTAATAAAAGAGCATCAGAAACAGGAAAAAAAAACCCAACACCTCTATCTAGTCACTAGATGGTACACAGTTGTTCTTATTCCTTCACCACACCTCTAGACAAAAGGTAATCATTCACTGAATTAAGCTTCAGGAAGGCTGGATTTCATAACTGGTATAAGTAGATTTTCTGTGTGACTTTGCAATATCCAACAACTATTTCTACATATGCAGACTGCTACTGAGGGATTTTCTCGCAAATGGTCAATAAATCAGCTGTGCCTAAAAGATACTGCTGGATCTCTTCCCACAGACCCCCCATCATTGTTTTGTCTTTTTCTCACATTCTGTGGCAATGTAAACTGTAAGAAAAGATTATTCAGATTCAATAAACAGACACTGTTTTTTTCTCCATTTGTATTGATCTTTGAGTCTGAGTTTAAATTAGCACACTCATGTGGCTAGCAACTTCTACTAAACCCGCTTAATGAAAGCACATTAGTTCAGTACAGATCCTTGAATGTCAGACAAAATGGAGACACGTGCAGCAGAACTTTGTGTGAATAATTTTTCAATTAGATGCTTTAACACAACAGTTACTGAAAAATCATTCTGCTCTTCCTAACTCTACCACCCCCAAATTAACCAACATTTTGCATTTACCGCCAAACAAAAACATACTTCGATTTCATCAAGGATGGACTGACAAATAATCTGGGAATACACTAGGATTAAATAAACGTAGAGAAGAATTATCTTTCACTGGTTTTAAGAAACAGTGTTTTTGTCCAACCAGCAATATGGAATATTACTCTTGCCACAGATAAAGGAAACTCTGCAGAAGCCATTTCAACACAGAACCAAAGAACTGGAAATGAAAGATTAGGTTTACACACTCTTTGTAAATCATTCATGGAAATAAAAGGAATCCCCCCTCTCTTTATTTATTCAATAGCTCCGTGGTCAGGGCCTCATCTGATATACAATGCGGGACAATCGGGTTCAAGTCCCTCTTTGTCAGGGTGTTCTTGAACCCACATTTTAACTTTCCCAGAAGAGTTCTTAAACCAGTGAGAAATCTGTAATTGGCTTTTCCTGATCCCCATGGAAAAGCTGTTCTGCATGGATTATTTAAATACTGAGTCAAAGAGCGAGAATGACTCTTTGGTCTGGCGGTTAAAGCATTCACTGGGGAGGCACACAGCGGGGTCAAAGAAGCAGTTCAAACAGCTCAGGTGAGAGCATACCACTGCAGAACATCCACTGGCTATGTGATTCCCCTGGAAAGTGGAAAATGAGGGTTTAAAGCTCAGTCAGGGGAAAGAAGTTGAAACCTAGCCTCCTATATATAGGAGTTACTGCATTAGGAACATATGGTGAGTTCTTCAACCTCGTGGGGGGAGAGGTAAGTGCATGAGAGGGGAAGATGGAAAAGAGAAGCAGTTGTTGTCTTCTCCCCACAGTTTTGTGAATCTTTTCCTTTCCAAGAAGAAAAATGAAAGACATTCCAAGTTCAGTCTGCACTTAAAAAAAAAAAAAAAAAAAAAAAAGGACAGGCAGTGTTTCTTTAAATTTATTCACTAAAAATATATTCAGATATTTGATGGAAAAACTTATTTCCCCCCACGTTCAGGTTAGGCTCGAAATTCAAGATGGGATTAAAAATTTTTGCGTGTATAAAACCCCTTCCTCACTAATTTTTTTAAATTTATTTATTTATTTATTTATTTGGCTCTTGAGTTTGAGCTTTCTGTTAATATATGTTTGTAATAAGCACTAATAACTCCCGTGGACCTAGGATGGATTGCCATTTAAGGTCTGTATTACAAATGGCATTCTCAGAACTAGTGAAGTAAGAGGGAGATATTACAGTGAAAGCTGTATTAAGTTAATGTTTCAGCTTGTACAGGGTATATATGTCATACTTTTTAGCATATGAGAAAGGAATGGTCACGGGTTTGGGGTTTTTTGAGCCAGTATAGTTCATCTGGCAACATGAATTTTGAATTTCTATGATATCATGGTTGTAAACCTCCTATTTGACTGTGATATTTTATATTTAGTTTATTACATACTTCCTGCAAGCTCAGCTGAGTCTGTTTTATGAGGAAATAAATCATTATACTGAGCAACAGAAAAATATATCTGAAATTGAGACTACTAGCCATCAGCTCAGACTAGAGAATTCATTTACTTTCCTGAAGATTGGATACAGAATGTTGTTGTTTAAATTTGAACAAGGCATAATTCACTTATGGTATTTAAATCTTGTTTTTCTTTCACTGTCACTATTTCACTCCTAAAATCTTCATGTTTTTCTGACAGCATTCAGAAGCTCTAGGGATATCAGTGACAAGTTAACTGGATGTAAGTCTTTCAAACAAAAAATGCATTAAAAGAAAAGTTTTACTTCTTGCAGGTCTAATTTCTAATATTTCCAATGTTCCATTCCAGCCCACCCACACTGAACACAGAACATCATATTCACTTTAGAAGCTTCATGAGCTTTTCAATTCCTCCATTTGGGCAGGGAATACAAGTTTTTGTCAGTAATCACTAATTTTCAACAGACTCCTATAAGAACAGCTGACTTAAAAAGTCAGCTGACTGACTTCTTAAGAAAATTCTGCTCTGATGTGACAACAAGATCTGAAATGGAAAATGAGTACTCTAATGAATGGTTCACAAAATGTATGCTGCTTTTATCACAAGGACGTTCATGGGATATTGAAAGAAAAATAGGTAGTAGGGAAAAGTTCTTCCTCATGACCAACAAGCATAGCAAGTCTATGATTCTGTGATTCAAAGTACTCTAAGACTCTATAAAGTATTTGTAAATTTCACAAAAAAAAAAAAAAAAAAAAGGCCAA